GTACTTTTAATGTTACAAGTGAAATAAATTAGTATTGCGGCAGTAAAATCGGGGGTGTGCGCATGATTTGACATAATGTTATGGAAGAGAGTGATTAAATGAGACTACGGCTTAACTCATATTTTCTGTGTCTTTACCTTTTCAATACTGGAATTTCTATCTTCCTTCTTTTGGCACTCGGTTCCTGTTGTTGAGGAGAAGGCTGAGGTCGTAATTCACGTGACAGAGCCGGTTGCTGCATACGAAGCGCATCAGAGTCCCTGAAAAAATATTCAGAGAGTCTATGAAATAAAAATTCTGGATCTCTCTAGGTATTGTAGTAGCAGTAGTAGTGGTTCCATCATCATGTCATAAAAAATGTGAATCAACAAATCAGCAATTTATTTTTTTAATTTACAACATTTTACTGAAACAAAATGCACTTATTTACCTATTAGTAGTCGACAGGAGCTTCAATAACTTGGATACATTGTGACAGAGGCTGACAGAAGAGACTTTTAAGTATTTACAAAGTAAATGCAATAAATATGAACCATATAAGCAGAGATGAGGGAACTGAATGAAATCTCAGACTCAAAAATAACCTCTAAAAGATTTTTAGGCTGACAGACCGTCTACACAATAATTTTTTAAAGTAGTCTCAATGTTTACTATCGTTGTGTAGACAGACCGTAAACCTAACAAGCAACATGCAGCAGGATGCATCCTGTGAAAATATATCTTGTAATATTTGTTACTGGCAAAATAAAATAAAATATACGCACTAACACAGAGAAATATGATAATGGAACTTCATCTAACTACTTTCCAACATTATGGACACTCATATTAAGAAAGGCATGATTCATGAAAACCAGGTAATAAACTTCAATGCCGCTCAGTGGTAAAACCACAGTACAACTGCGGTGTTTATTCTGTAGTACACAAATGTCCATGAACTCACTGAAAATTTCAGCATGTGAAAAAACATCTACCATGAAAAATGCCTTCAGAATGTAAATGTTATGTTAAACACATGAGATGGTGTTCCGCACCCATACAAAACAACAGGCAGAATTATTGGTTTGTATATTTAAGCTTTCTTACAACTGGTACTTTTAATGTTACAAGTGAAATAAGTTAGTATTCTGGCAATAAAATAATGTTATGGATGGGACTGATTAAATGAGACTATGGTTTAACTGAGTCTTTACTCCTTCAATACCGGATTTTATATACTCCTTTTCTTGGCACTTGGTTACTGTTGTTCAGGGGAAGGCTGAAGTCGTAATTCAGGTGACAGAGCCAGCTGGTGCATACAAAAGATGGTTGCAGTGATAACAAGGTTCTATCTCCCCCTCCCCCCATTCAAGCACAGGGTATATTATTAATAATGATTGGCAGAAGCTGGAAATCTATTGTTACACATGTAAATTAATTAGCCCCGGTTCTAAAAGTTAGTTGTGAATGTATGACATAAGAAAAAGTATTTTCACATTACCTTACAAGATAATTTTTAACACATGCTATATCTGAACCAGATTAACCATTAAATAGGGGCTTTAATCCGATCCCTATACTATGAGGATGATCGTCAGAGATCAACTTTAGAAGTATCAAACTGTTACACATGGTCAAAAGAGGTTAAATGGCAATACAAAGTCAGACTTCATAAACTGCAACCTCTGCAAGAAATTCCTGTAATTCAATTGAAGTTATACTCACTGTAGTATAGCGAGGATATTACAATCCTTTAAATTAGTACTGAAAAAACAATGTAAAAGCTAAGGGAAAATACTTTAACGGACAACATATGTATATGTAATTATGCAGTGTCCCTAATATTCTATTTAAAAAACATACCTGCAATACGAGAAAAGTCCCACAGCCTTATAAAAATTGACAAACCCTTCCTTTCATTCAATAATATTAACAATCATAAACCTCATTCATCTAATAATTTATCAAAATCCACAATAAGAAAAATCACACAAAGGGAAGTACCTACTTATCTTTACCAGGCGGCATCGGTAAAGCATCAGCTTTGCCAGAAAAGTATCTCCTGATAGGTTTCATCCTTCTGGTAGATGTGGTACATCGTTTACTCTTCTGTGATGCTGATGAAACTTCAGGTTCCACATGAGGTTCACGCTCATAGAGCAGAATGTATGTATCAGTGTCTAGAACTTCTAATCCTGACAAGCGACGAACCACCTCATCATCAAACTCGAAGTAATGACCAGACATTCTTGCCACTGCAGTATAGTGTCCAGATTCGACTGATGAACCACTGTGCGTGATCATAGAGACTAGATTGTATATAAGTGGTTTTGATCTATGTTGAGCTGATGAAGGACAAAGGAACCTTGTAATATCCAGTCGTTCCGAAATTGTCACGTGTTTCTTGATCTTCCCTCCCCAGACGTTGAACCTGCAAAAGACAAAGAATATCACATTTCAAATAAGCAACGAAGTGTGAAGAATCATCAAACATACCTTTCATGTAACACTTTAGTTTCAACTTATCTACTCATTTATTTACAACACCTAACTTCCTATCATTGTAATACACATTATGTCCATAATTACTTTCCTCTTCAGTCTTTGAAGTGGAAATCTGTTGGTACAATTTTCACAAAACAAAGAACATGAAAATTGTGTTAACCACAGAAATATTACAAAGAAGATCGAATCACTATTTTATTTAAAACAAAAACATAAAGAAAAGTATACATAAAAGTGTGAAGCTGCTGCAGAAATTCAAATGAGTATATTACTCTTGGTGAATCCAAAGAATATTGAGTGATTTGCAACAAATGTCCATAAACTGCATTTTAATGAATATCCATTACATTCATTTGAAAATGATACATTCATAAGATACTAAACACTTTTTAAAGCAGTTCCTGCAAAAGCCAGGAGGAATGTAGAATAATGTTGTAGTTATTTTTCTCTTGGTAGATGACTCTAATTAATATTGATAAATAAGTAGAAAAG